TGCATTTCAGGTTAACTGCTATTAAAAAGAGACACTAACTGTAGGGGAAGGAAATGATAGGTAGCAACATAGCAATGGCAATTAAAATAATGCATCATATTTACCTCTACATGTTGTTTTCATGAATAAAGCTCTTTTCAGATGTTGAGTAAGCCTAATAAGAACTTGAACTTTTGCAAGGTAGACAGTGTTGGATTCCCTACTTTGTATTAGTTGATAAAATGTAACACAAAACATATTCTATGTGAAATTGTACACAATAAATCACAGCCAGATGTCAGGAAAGATAGAAGAAGTTTCAGGCCCATCACGAGTCTTGATTCTCTGACAAAGAGCCATAATTACTGACTATTCTGTGATGATCCATAGCATGAGTGACATTGATCAGGGATTTAGTACAGGGACTGGAAAATAAATGTTAAAAATCTTTGTATTCTCTTTGTAAGGAGCTAATTGTGTTTGACTTGCATGTGTCTTCTGTCCCTGAAGCTGAGCTTCCTAAAAAAGCTGTAGCTGCCATTTTGATGGGATCCCACCTTTTGCAATCTAACCAAGCGTATTTTCCTTTATCTCATTTTTCCCCAGAATGCTACAGCAACAAAAGCAACGTCGAATGTTCACGGCTGCTCTCCTGGCACTTGTCTTCATTCTGGCAGCAGTGAGTACCACTGAGGCTGGAAAAAAAGAGAAACCAGGTAAGGTCTAGTGTAATACAGGGTTAATCCGTGAGGCAGATTGCATGTGTGGGACAATACAAAATGCTTTTGGTTTTTTTTTGAAATTCAAGGCACTCATTAACCTTTTGACATGCATGATAGGTATTTGTGGCAGTGACATTTTTTCCTGTGCTCAGTAGGAAAGTAGAAATTTGTTTCCATGAAAGCTGGCAGCTTGAGAGCATCAGAGACAAGAGACAAAGTCCTCACTTTATCACAGAATGGGTATTGCAAGACATCTTTCCTTAAAATCTGCTGAGAATAGGTTCATACTAGGCTAAGGGAGAATCACATAAGAACAATGAAAGAGTAGTTATCATGTTAGTCATTTGGTGTGTTATATGCAATTGCAACACCAGTGCCATGAAAGTGAAAATCCTCCAGTAAAGGACTAGATGAACTCTGTGCTGAAAACAGACACATCCAGACCCCACTGCAGTAGGGAGAGGCCTGGAGTGGAAAATTGACATCTATGAAACTCATTTTTGATGTTTTTTAAGAATTGTACGTTATAGTGTTTTTCTTAAGATCTTATATCTTTTAGGGTACCCATACTACCCATTAGGGTAGTATGATTAGGTCGCAGTTGAACTTGGTGATCTTTAAGGTCTTTTCCAACCTGAGCAATTCTGTGATTCTTTGATTATTTACATGCTGCTTACACAGGTTAATATGACTCGTTAGTCTATTAGAATTAGTATTTCCATTAAAAAAAAGGTGTTTCTAATCAGTGTGGCTGTAAAGAAATACTATAAAATATGGAAGAGCTAAAGCATAAATCATTCTATATAAGATTATTTAAAATTACATGTGATATTTGGGGTCTTAATTATTATTTTGGTCAACATTTGGATTTGTCCCTATTTTTGTCCCTACAGAACCTGCTTTTGTCCCTAAGAAACAAAACCTGATTAGGCTATCAGCATTTCAAGGTGTTCTGATCAAATTCTGAGTGCTTACATTAGCAAGATCAAGAATCATAAAATCTTGTATTTACATATCCTTCTATATGTAGTGTAGTTTCTTATTTGCCTTTGAAGATTTGGTTATAATCTGGCATAAAATGTAATACGGTGTACGCTAAGTGAAAAGTTTCTGCTTTTTCCAGGAGGTGCTCAAATCCCAGTACACAATGTCAGCACATAAATTTCTTATCTATATGGTGTGGTTTGCTCCAGATGAAAATGAAAATATTTACGTGCCATCAGCCACGGAAGGCAAAAGGAATGTCCTTTGCTGAGTGTTTTGTTCAGCAGTCCCTGAGGGTGTGTAGATTCCCCACTCTGAAGATGAGAGTCTGATTTGGCTATTAGAAGTAGTGGAACTGACTTTGAATGATTGTGATTTGGAGTTAAAGCCTAAGAGGCTGAAATGTTTGCAGAAGTTTGAAGGGCATGCCAGATTTTTTGGTTGTGAAGCTGTTTTATTATCACCTTCCGTATTTACTCTCTCAGGCACTGTGACTATGTAGTGAAGAGACGTTTCTCTATCAGCTGTGAATACTGACCATTTATCTTGTGTTTGCTTCCTTGTCTTCCACCAGAGAAAAAGGCTAAGAAGTCTGACTGTGGGGAATGGCAGTGGAGTGTCTGTGTGCCCACCAATGGAGACTGCGGCCTGGGGACACGCGAGGGCACTCGCACTGGAGCAGAATGCAAACAAACCACCAAGACTCAGAAGTGTAAAATTCCCTGCAACTGGAAGAAGCAATTTGGAGGTAAGCATCACACTTTCAAGGGACTGTTTTTTTTTCTTTTTACTTAAGTATGATGAAGAAAGACTGTATTTTCTTCTTAGCTCTGCAAATAAGGTGCTATCTACCTCCAAGTCTGTTGCAACTAAATAATTTGAGGAATAGAAGGCAGATTCCTTAGAGTAAAGAAGCTCCTCCAGCAGAGAATCCAGATAATCTACGTGTTGTAAACTTAGTATTCCAGCAGCACGATTAAATTTCTTTTCCTGTGGTAAAGAGGTAAATTACTCTTTTCCTGTAGAACCCTATTTAAAGCAGCAGTGTAAGAGTCATCTGTTTTCTCACAGCTGTGAGCCTCCGCTATGGTTACTACTGGCTTTATGGGACCTTGTGATATAGGTGGCTACCAGTGTGTGTGCACTAAATGGAGGCCAGATTATTTTATCATTTTATAAAGTTTATATATGGCAATTGAGAAAGGTACCTCAGACCTGTCCCAGACAAGATGTCTGTCCAGAGCTCAGATCTTTGCAACTGTTGCAAAGTTAGCTTTTTTTTGTTTTGTTTTTAATAAACAACTTGTACGGCTTTGACTTGAGTGTGACCTTTCCAAAGCAATCAGTGCAGCAGATTCAGACTTGACAAGACCATAGTTGCACAAACCTTCTTGAAACTATTCAGCCCTTACCTCTTAACCTTTGGCATCACACAAATGAAGGAACAATACAGAACTTGAATCGAGTTTTCATTTCTCTTTCTTTTTTTCTTTATTCTGTATCTTAATAGTTCAATATATTTTCATTTTATTTACATTCTGTGTTGACGATGACACGATATTCATGCAAAAGCAAGAGGATTTTTTTAAAGTCTTATGGGATTCCTTTCTCCAGTTGCATGATCATTTGTCTAGGAGCACCTGCTGCGGGTGATGAAAGTGGTTATAATGTTACTCTTTTCTACTGGACTGATAACATTTTTGTTTTCACTCTCAATCCTTCTATTTAAAAAATTACCATTTATTTACTCATTGCAGCAGAGTGTAAATACCAATTCCAGGCCTGGGGAGAATGTGACTTGAATACTGCCTTGAAAACTCGAACTGGGAACCTAAAGAGAGCTCTTCATAATGCTGACTGCCAGAAGACTGTCACAATCTCAAAGCCCTGTGGGAAGCTTACCAAACCCAAACCTCAAGGTAAATTCAATTTGCTGATAGTTGCACGCTAGTTCATTTCGGTTGATGGAATTGTGACGTCTCACATGCTTCAGTAGGAACAGGAGATTGTACTCTCATAGCCTTTCCTCAGACTGCATTCTCCTGTCTCCCAGCTGTCAGGCAGGCAATATTCCTGCATTATACAGTAAATGAAAACTAACAGACAAGAGGTGAACTGAAGATTAGGACCCCAGTTTTAACCCTAGACTACATGTGTTGCCACCAGTTTGTTGGAATGCAGCAGACCATCACAGTAAAGTGTTGCCTAACTCACCTGTTGATAAGAACATTCCAATAATAGCATGCAGGAACATGTCTTGTTGAGATAAACACACCTTTCGTATTGACATTTGGTATTGAATAATGATGAATTGAAAAAGGGACTACTTTCTTCCTGGACATGTAGAGTTCAAGGGATATTTTACTCACTGCATGCTGAAAGGAGCGTATGTAGGTATTCTGCACCTTTTGGATTACATATTCTTTATTCGAAGACAGCAGGGATGAGATCACCTAATGTCTTATTTAACTGTAATTCCTAGTACAAAACAAGGCATATGCTCATTTTGTTTCCTAGTATCTCTTAGACAAGCTTATTTTATTTCTAGTTATTAAGGCCTTTTAATATATTCTTTCATTGGAATAATGTGTTACGTGTGTAGGATGATTTACAGTGGAAGCTAAAGCTGTGAGATATTGTTTAAGCAGCCAAACTAATGTGTTTTTTTGTTTTTTTTTTTTTAATGTAAATGATACAAGCTATGTTACTCTGGCATTTGCTGCTGAAAACCAGATTAAAAACATTCCAGACTTTGAATAATTGGATAATTATAGAAATAAATGTGATTAGCGGTGACAGGTGGGACTTGGATGAGCAATTTTCCAATTGTGGTGGTGGTGCACCAGTGATCTGTGGAGCACTCTGCCTGTGTACCCTTGCACACCTTCAGTGGAGCTACCAGATAAGTGCTGAGTCTAAAACCTGTATGGATAATGCAAGTTGTGAAGCAGAAAGCATACAACTAGATTTCTGGAAACCAGCTGACTTGGTTGAGTTAGCAGCAATAAACATCTTCATTTGAACATGGAAGTGACTGAGAGGGAATAAAAGTGGGAATAAATGTAACAAGGGCTTGGAGCTGTGTAATTTTATTGCTTATTAGTTAGAAGGGAAGGATTTAGTTTTATTATTCTTTTTTTTTTTTTTTTTTTTTTTTTTTTTTCAAATTTCCATGCATTTGGGAGTTTATTGAATGAAGTTTCTTCTTGTGCTGGCAGAAGGGCTCTGCTGCTCGAGCCACCCCCAGCCTTTTGCCTACTCCTGTCTCTGTGGAGTCGGTGGGCTCTACTGATTGCTGCTGGAAGAGAGGGAAAAAATGCAGAGCATTGATGATGTTGGTACAGGGACATTTCATATTACAACTCTAAAGGCAGTGTCCTAGTAGAGCATGTGTCATTTCTGCATTGGAGTTCCTCTAATCCTGAAAGTTGGATTGTGACCATCTGCAGCAAGATAATTATGTGGTGCTAGTTAAACAGAAAATCTGACTTCGTTTGATTTGAAATAGATACAAGCGTAGGTTTGTGATCATAATAAATTTGGGCAGAAATTCTGCTTTCCTGACTTGCATTAGAAATCTTACAGCATCTTCCTGTGTACCACCTGCTCATTCATCTGCTGTTGGCATGAGGAGGAGCAGCAAATGTGGAAGTCAAACACTTGCAGTCTGCCTGAGCCCAAGCTGAAGATAAGCAGTCCATATTGCAGATCAGTGTGTATGACTGCTTAGGAATTGCACTGGTCAGTGTGTTGACAGCAGTAGGAGGTACTAGGGGAAGAAATTAGGTCAAGCAGTTGAATACTGTATGCAATGTTGTGACCTACTGAACTTCATTACTGAGTTAAAAGCTGATTGCTGAAATGAAGAATATTTCTGTTTGCTTCCTGAGGTGAGGGAAATTGCAGATTGGAGGTAAGTCCCTATCTGTATCTAGGTTAAGGAAAAAAAATATGCAATCTATAAATATAATCTAAATATATAAATATAAATCTATAAATATAATCTAAAAAGTATGCAATCTATAGTTAGAATAGAATGAATTTAATTCTTTGGAACCCTTAAGTAAGATCTAGGTTACTGCTTGAGCACTTGAAATGGGCTACAGATACATATCAGGCTCCCTTTTCTTCTGTAGCTTCTCATCAGCAACTCAGGACTACAAGTGAAGAAAGCATATAATACATTATTTGGAAGCAGCAATCTTTTTCCTGTGATGTAGCATTGTGTGAAGTCTGTATTCATATGCAGCTAAACCTGGAAATGCTGATCAGCCACCATCAGTTGCCACTGTGATTGCCTGGAGTAGAAAGTCAGTGGTTCTCTAGTATCTGTGGGCACTGACAACAGAATTGTAGGTGAGGGTCCTGTTGATTAAAGGAATCTGCTCTACTGCTTAACTGTTACACTTTGGATCAGTGCAGGCTTCAAGAACTTCATCACCGAGAACACCTATGACAGCAATAGGCTGGGAGTACCAAAAATGCATGTGAGATGACCAAGATTATTTCACTGAAAAGTAGCAGTATATTCAGAAAAAAAGATTTGTTTTAATAATTTTCCTGAGTAGCCCTCTTTCCTGTGGCCTGATTTTTTCCATTCATTAGGTTGTATTTGTAACCTCTTCATTGCATTGCTTTTTCTTTTGGTTTGGTATTATTATTAGGGTAAGTAAAAGCCTCCATTAATCTTCTCCAATCAATTGCAGCTTAATGTATCTTTTGTTATTTATTGTCACTTGCCTGCTGTTAAAACTAAAATTTTGATTTAAATATTTTGCTGTATTAGAATCTGTCCACAATAAGAATGTTTTCTAATGGACTTGCCCAAATTCCTTTTATAATTACTAAACAATTTCTGAGATGAAGTGACTGGACTACACAGTGTTTCAAGCCTGTCCTCTACAGATTTGTATTGAAAAAGAAACAGCATTATATCACTTCTTTTTATTCACAGTTTTACTCGTTATCTAAAATGTTTTTCCTCTGCTCACAACTTTCATGTGGAGCAGGTATTTTTATCTGAGACCTCCACAATACTCCCTGAATACTTTTTTTCTTAAACGAATTAATATGATTAGTTAAGAATCCAAGAATGAATGTATGTCCATCTAGACTTGTCCAGTGCAGCACCATGTCTCAGATTTCACCTGGCACATTTTCATAGTGTAGCTGAAGTTATTCCTCACCTTCAGTGCTCTTTGAGAATAGCATAAATAAATTGATATCATCCATAAATGCTGCTCTGTTATTGCTTTTCAGCTCATGAACGTAACAAAGCTATGCTCATAGCATAATCCTGTTTTTCTCTTCTCTCACTGAACTACTTTAGAAGATGAGTACTGTTTTGGGGAGTTTGAATGATGTTTAACAGAAAAAAAATATACATACAGAAAAAATCAAAGGGTTGTTTGTCAGATTCACTGACAAAAACAAGTCTTGTTTTTGTTTTGTTTTGTTTTGTTTTGTTTTTTGAGGAACTTCCTTGATCTGCAGCAAGACTTCTGCTAAATTAAGCCAAGACAACCTCGTTAGCATTAGAAATCAATGAATTTCTGATAAACTGGTGATCTAAGAATTCTTATGGATTTATCATTAGCCAGCATTCATGGAAAAGCCTTAAAATCCTTTTGAATCTTTTGAAGTTTGGAAAATAACTTTACTTCCTGGATATTTTTTCCTTGAAATTTTTGTATGTTTTCCTTATTAGCAATTTCTCTGTCTCAGTGTTTTTCTTCTGAACAGCTGACTCTAAGAATGGATTGTATTCTTGGAGATCACTGCTTGCAAGAGGAGAATTATTAGAGAACCTCTAATATTGGTTTCAAGAGAGAGAGAGCAGATGATGAATTAGGAATTTGAATTTTATCTGGATTCCTAATGGACTTTTTTTTTTTTTTTTCATATTTTATGAGATGCTCTTGGATTGGATGACAATAGCTTGGTCTTGGGCTGCTGTACTGAAATAATGAAAACTGGTGTACATTCCTGAATATCAGTTTTGACAGAGAGATTGTCAGTGCTGTGACAGTGACATCCAAGACACTAGGGTTTGTTTACTTAGTACAGAAATGAAGTTATGAGAACTCCTGTCATAAAGGCTGGAAAGGATGAAACAATTTTTATCACGGGATCCTGGCAGAAGCAGACATCTCTTCTCTAATACATACAACTGCATATTCTAATCAGTGTCTGAAGTGCCAGGGATGTTCAACTTATCCTTAAACTGTCTTGATGGATGCAAAAGAATCAGGCACTTCTGTTGAGCAGCTGCTCTGATGGCCAACTTGCACTGAAGAGCAGAAATTGGTTCCGACAAATTCCATCTGGCCTACTTCATGGCCACCCAAACGTGATTTATGATTGTTCAGGTTCCAGCCAACCAGAGAGGAAAACAATGGGATATTGTCAGGATTCAGGAAACATTTTGGTTTTACTGCTGAGAGAGGAGGAATTTATTTTTACTGAGCTAGGTTGCCTGGTAGGCTTTATTTGTTTTTTTCACTCAGGCTTTCTGTCATTCTTATTTTTCTTCTCTCTCTCCATAATTCTCTCACTTTGAACTATTTACACCTTTGATAAAGATAAAACGAAATAGGATAAGCAGTTTACCTGGACACTTAGAAAAGCAATTTTACTAGAGCTGGCAAACATTAATACTGTTTATGCCACTGTTGTCTTTAATTACTGGAGTTTCATCTAAAGATCATGTCATCCAGTACCCATGTTTTTAAAGACTGTTCAGAGGAAGGCAAGACTTGCAATAGATTATAATGGCTACAATGTCTTTTCTGTAATGAAGATCAGGTGTAGCATATTGCTCTAGCAATGCCTCAGCACATTTCCTGTCTTTGGAACTGTATGTTCTCCTACAGTGTTTTTACTAATTTCCCACTGTTTGAAGAGTTTTATTTAAGAGTTA